GTATTGCGGCTGAATAATGCAGGTGATGGGTTGACTATGATAATATCGTGGCTGGGAATTGGGAAAGAGGTGTTGGACTGGGGCTAGAGGATGTGTTACTGGAAGGGAGGGGATTTGGATAGAGGAAAACAACCTGGGAGAAATGACGAGTTACGGAAACAGAGACGAGTTGTAGTGGGCTAACGGGATACAGGAACAGTGGCAGTCAATTGGTCTAGCAGCGACAGTAGGGGGGACAGCTTCGAAGGAGACGGGAACGGGTTGCTAGAAGGGCGGGTGGAGGGTAAGGTTGGGGAAGATAATCACCACCGGGGGGAATAGAGATACAGCCAGAGCACCACCCTTTTCGTCAGAAAGGATCCTCAAGGGGAAAACAGGACGTCGGTAACTGTCCTCACAAACTGAAATCCAAAAATAACATAAGCTGAAACTCGAAGACCTAAAAACAAAAATAAATAGAATCGGGATGGGCGGGAAATGAAAACAGAAAAGAGGGGAAATTCCCGCCTAATGAAAAGAGGGGGGAGGGGGGAGGTTCAGCCCCCTCTCTCAACTGAACAGGTTCGGGCCAAAAACGATTCAGCTTTTGGAAAAAAAAAAACCTCACGTCAACATACTGTCAAGGCTGCCACTGTTAGAAGATGTTTGATCTGTCTTCACTTCAGAGAGAAATGAGCCAACCTTAAGTTATTTTTAGAGGACTCTGCAAAGTACATAGGCACAAAGTTCTAGTTCAATTCAGCAAGGCACCCACAAATGGACTAATAGAGATGGTTACTCGTACAATAGAGATGGTTACTCGCAATTTGGAAAACCTTCTAAGGTGTTGCGCGGGACAGCAATCCGATAATGAGATCCAGATAGTTCTAGAGATGCAGCCAAAGATCCTTCATTCTCGGGAGATTACAATATTTTCATTTCCTCCAATGGGGTCAAACTGGCTACATACTATGACGAGGCAGATGATATCGAAGCTCCCCTAACCCAGAGAGACTAACAAGGGCATCTATACCTGGACCAATTCTATTCAGGTTTCCTGAGGGTCGAGCCTTCTAGTTATCTTGGGAGTGTCGCCCAATTGGAATGGCCCATTCCTAGTTTTCTATGACTATATTATTATTTTTGTTAGTTTTAAAGGTTGTTTTTTGCTGTGATTTGTTTTGGGACAATCATCAGCATCTCCTTTTTCCTCTACGGGTAGTATCCTAGGATTCCAAGTGGTGCTTCAATTGTATCTTGGTCTTCATGTGGTGCTTCGGTTGTACCTTGATCTCCATGTGGTGTTTATCCCTCCTATACCTTTCTTCCATCCTTTTCCACATTGCTTTCACATTCCCTTCATTGTTTGCTCGTTGTCCTCTCCTTCTTCCTTGTTGTCGCCACCCAAAACCGCCAACTACCACAGATATTCCTGTTGCCGATCTGCCATACGGACCCTTAAAAATAGCCTCCTTGCTTTTCCTGCTTATCCCACGCCTCTTTCCATCATCTTGGAGATCCAAACCCCAACTAGCACCACTTATACTCTAGATCCAGCCACAGTTCTTGTGTTTTGTTGTTATTTTATTGCAGTTTCAAATTTATCTATTGTTTGTTGTAATTTCAGATTTTGGATTCAGAAATGATATTTGTTTTTCATTAGGTGTTTATTAAATTTCGGTATCAAAATCACTCACGCAATAAAATGTCATTTGTTTACCAAGATTATTCACCAACTTGAAATATATCCAAAAGTTAACTACATATTAAAAATAAAATGATGTATTCTACCCTTCAGAGTATGCATTTTAAGAAATGGACTCAAGTGAGGCTATTGAACTTGCTAAAAAAGACATGGTCTCAACCACCTTGAGAAATATCATAACCAAGAAAGCACCAATCTACTTAATGTATTATCTATCCTTTTAAAGCATTTAAATTCAATAAGAAAAAGTTGTACTCCAATAATTAACTACATCTTAGTCATCCTTCTTTTATAATTCTCAAAAATAAATCTACTTTTTGATTCAAAAAATTTATTATTGAAGAGCTTCATATGATACTTGTGAAATAAATCAATAAGCAATGCAAAAATTCAACTATTTTACTCTCATTCACAATTACATATGGGGACCATCCTCTATACCTAATAACATGGGGCTCGGTGGTGGCTTGTGCCCTTTATTAGTGACAGCACTCACGTGCCAAGAATCTTTCTACTGGAGGTAAAAGTGCTCATCTTTTTTTCCATTTGTTTTCAACATGTTCAAAAGTCAATTCAATTTTAAAATTAAGAGAATCGGATCTAAAAAAACAGACTTTTTTTAACTATTATCTCTTATTTATATAAAAAGATGAGCACTTTTATATACAAACCTCAATAAAATAGAGTCATTGAACAAAAGAACAGCTACCAACTAGCTACCTCCAGAGATCTCATTTTTCAAGAGAATGATTCAAATCAAACTTGGGGTAAAGCTATCTTAATAGCAACTTACATTACAAACCAATCATATACATGAGTCCATGGATTCAAGAGTTCCACTCAAATCTTAACCAATTTTTTTCTTTACTTAAACTCCTTACATAATTTTGTTTCCAAGATATTTGAAAGTGCGCCTTTGTTCAGGCAAGTCCTCAAAATAAAGAAAATTTTAATCCATGAGAAATTGAATTTGTTTTTATTAGCTAGAACTCTCACTCAAAAATATACAAATACTATCATGTCCCAACAAGAAAGGTGATGTGATGCTTATGTCACTTTCAATAAAGAGCATTTCTAATTTGTTGCTACTTTCCCCTCAAAAAACAAAATCATTCACAAATGAATTCTTTCTCTAGATTGCCCATCCATTCTCATCCCAGAAAACAGCTCCATAACAAGCTGCTGCTACAAAGATCAGGCAAACCCAGCAAAAGAACAAAACATGGTGATGACATATTTGAAAGGCATATAGCCAGACTAGTGGCAAATTTTCACACTCAAATATCGGCGATCAATTATCTTGAAACTTGTACTCATTCCAACATGAATATTATTCGAGTTTTGTTATCATTAGTTGCAAATAAGAAGTTAAAAATATAACCATTCCACATAAAGAATGCCTTCTTATACCATGATATCAAGAGTGAGTTACATATGGTGGCCCCACTGGGGTTTGACTAAAACACAGGCATTATATTTATTGCAATAATCTCCATGAGTATAATTTGGGAGGTTCGGTAATATAATGCTCAGCATGGGATACAAATAGAGTAAATGTCACCATAATTTGTTTGTGCAATACACGGTACCAAGGGGGAGTCTCCATATTACTAATTTACGTTGACAGCATCATCGTGACATGTAACAGCTTAAAAGGTATAGAGACTATACAATAAAGAAGAGAGTGCTCTAGGAATTTGAAATCAAAGAATTATATAATCTAAAATAATTCAGTCAATAAGGTTGCATGCTTTTGATATAGGATATTTATGTCACAATAGAAACAACAAATGTATTGAAAAAACACACATGTACGGATGCAATCATGTAAAGAACTCCATGAAAACTAAAAATAAATTTGGTGATGCTTTAGAAGCAGTCATAGTTCTTACCAAAAATTTATAGAAAAAATTATCTTTTTATCACACACTAAATCTGACTTGCTTATGTACTTGGTGTGATAAGATTATTTATTCGTAATCCTAAGGAAACATAATTTGGTGCTACACATCAAATTTTACAATGCTTGAAAGGAAATCCATGAAAAAAAAATTAATTGAAAGGAAGACTGAGTTGACTCTTGAAATATACATATATGCCAATTATCCAATATATATTATTAATAGATCAATTTTAAAATATTTCACATTCTAACAACTTCGAGATTTGAAAAAATAAAAACAAAATATAGTCGCGAGATCTAACACAAAAACCAAATTTATATTATAGCACTAAAAATCTATAAACAATTATGCAAAAATATACACTAGAAGAATTGAGGGTTGAACAAAAAAAAAATCCTATGATACTCTGCTGTGATAACAAATCAAAAATCAAATTTGCACATAATTAACCTAACAAAACAATTTGAAGGGTATCAGCAATTTCAAAACAGAGAAGCTCAATAGTGATCTAATATCTACATTCATCATCATAGAAAGCCAACTTACAAGCATTCTCTTCAAAGGATTATCAAGGATGATACTTCAAAAAGTTGAGTTGACATGCAAGTGTAGAATAGAAAACATCAATTCCACTTCCATCAATGTTCCATCCAGCCCAACAGTACCACATCATACTAGTACCATCACCTAATTAATTCATGAATTATTGTAATAATTTACAATTATTATTTTGCCTATTCATCAAGTCATTGACTATTGTAATTATTCTTCCTTGATTTTGTATGCTCCCAATAAAAATCTCTCCTGGAAATATATAAAAACGGCCAAATAAAATAGAAATGAAATACGCAAACAAATTATATCCAGTGTTTGTTGCAAACAACCAACTTTAACTTTAAAAGTCTAGTTCTCATTTAAATTCCGCTCTTTTTTGCATAACTCAATTTCCAGTGCATTTTTCCTGTGCATTCTTCTAAGTATTAATTCCTTTCAAATAACCTCTAAATGATATTAGTTCTTTGTAGCTTTTGCATCAACAAATACATTATTCATGACACATTGTTGTTTTTTAATTAGTATTATGTTGCATGGCCATGATTATCATTTAAAAAAAAAAAAGAGTAAATTCAAACTTAATAAGACAGAGTTGGAAATTCTAAAGAACGATCTTCCTAATGTCTGACAAACTAAAAAGATCATAGCCTGCAGATTGGAATAAATTCCAACCTCTTAATCGATGAAGCATTTCACTGCAAGTTGACCAGACCATGGAAGCAAATATACAAGCTTATTTTAATGTGTTAGTGTAAACAGAAAAGAATTTCATTTCGTGATACTATTGCTCATAAGAAAAGCAACAATCTTATTAACATGGTGATAATGCAAGCTAAGATTGTGTACATGCAACATACCTGAGGGTCTGTCAACTTTGTTCAAAAGGAGAATAGGGCGTAGCCCATACTTTAAAGCTTTTGCAAGAACAAATTTTGTTTGTGCAAGTGGGCCCTCCCCAGCATCAACAACTAACACGGCTCCTTCAACCATCCCAACAACTCGTTCAACCTATAACGAACAATTTGCAGTTACTTACTAACCCCATAAATAATTTGAATCAAATGATCATAGACAACATACTTCCCCGCCAAAGTCAGCATGGCCAGGAGTATCAACCATATTGAGTTCAATGTCATTCCATGTGATCGAAGTAACCTACAGCAACGAAGCTAATCTCAGTGCAAGTAAATCAAAAGACTAATCATCAAATCCATGGCAGGTATTTAATAACATGGCCAAACCATTATAGTCCACAATATTTTCAAGCAAGAAAGAATTAGGAGCTTAAGTTGACTATTGTGTATAATGAACAACTAGATACTCATTTGTTTAAGACTCATTTACATTTGTCTGTTGGGCAAGATTGAATAAGATTTCAAAAGATTGACATATAAATGAGCAACTTGAGCCTTGATTTGTTCATTTATTTGAATTAATGCACATATTTAATTATTTGTCAATAACTGGCTCACTTTAGATTTCATAACGTGTCCATATAAAAATATGGGGTGGCTTAATTTTAATTTAAAACTGACTTTATATTTTTTTTATCAACTTACTTCATCCTATGTGTTTTTGAAATGTAATATTTTGACCCAAAAAAAAAATGAATCCTTTGATCAAATAGCTAGAAGATTCAAATTAACTTTAACTGTACTTTTCATAAATGTTTTTATGTGCAAATATGTATGTATACACACACACATATATAATGTGAATTCAACTATGTTAATTTTGATAGAGAAAAATGATCGAATAGCTCTGCAACCAATCTAGGCTGTGTTCAGTTTACCTTAGATATTTTTTTATTCTCCGACATAGTCCATCAAATTATAAAAAATGCAAATTTAAGGGATCAAAAGAGCCAAGATAAATGACCAAGAAAGCGAGAACTTTAAAGTAACTTTAAAGAGAGACAACAACAAAAACAACAACAAAGCCTTAACCCCACTACATGGGGTTGGCAACATGAATCATTTTTCTCCATTGCGTCCTAT